GACTGGGTGCACTTTTTGGGCTTGATTCCTATATCAACCAAAACAATATCGTTCACACGTATATGCAGTTTGCTGTCACTTTTAAGCCTTTACTAACACGAGATGGAAGAACTCTTCCTTTAAAATTTTGAATTTGTGTTAAAGAATGAACAATCCTGCGAAGTTTCCGCTTTGTCCCATCGATCTCAAGTTAGTACTAAAGGGCTAGAGCTTGCAAATCAACTCGGACAATGACATTTCTGGCGATCTACCAAATCTAGAGGGAGAGTATAATTTTGAAATGATTCGTTTGCGTTTTACTGAAGGTAAAACCTTTCATAGATTTTTATTGATATTAATTAATATTAATTAATGATTTAATTAATTAATATAAATAGGAGCATCGTTACCCTCTTACCTTTACTTGTACTCGTTTACTTCGTGCGTTCATCCTTGAGCTTCTTCTCTATCAGCTCAATGCCAACATGGGCTGCTTGCAAAACATCTTTCACGTCTTGCATATCCTGTTTCTTTTCCTTCGCCTCCTTCAACTTCTCCTGTTTGGCACTCAATTCATTCTTCTCGTGCTCTACCTTTACCTCAGCTTGCTTCTTCTTCAGCTTTTTTTTGCTAAGGGTGGTCTTCTTATTGTTTACGTCGTCTTGAGCTTGCTTTTTCTTTTTCACTGCTTTGCTGCGCTTTGCGATTGCGGCTGTGAGAGCTGCAACTGCAGCGGCTATCGCAGCTCCAGAAACAATACCACCAATGATTGTCCACCAATCGGCTGCTTCGGAAGCATCCGCTGCTGCTTCGGCTGCGGTTGCTGCAGCAACTTCTTCAGCAGCTGTCGCTTCTGCCGTTTCTGCCGCTGCCAAAACTTCCTCAGAAGCTGTGACTTCAGCCTCCACACTCTCCACTTCTGACGCTGCTGTGCTCACTTCGCTTTCTGCGGCTTCCATTTCCTGACTTATTGCTTTTGTTTCGGTGGAGAGTTGATCGACTTCTCCCTGCGACTGGCTTAATGCTCTTTCAACGTTGAAAGAGATTCCCTTAATCCTGCCAATAACCGTAGAACTCTCGTCCAAAAGTTCGCCCAAAACATTTTGAGGAAGTTGCTGGATGATTTGCGGCAGATTGTTGTAACTCATGTAGCATAGAAGAGCGGCCAGGGCTACGGGAACAGGGATTTTTTCCCAGTGAAAGTCGGGATCGGGTGGGGGGAACGGATCCGGTTTTGGATCCGGTCTATCGTTGTCCTTTCCGAACAGAGGTCTTAACGCCCATTCCAGTGTGCGGGTAAGGGACGCGGTCTTGTTTTCTCCACCTCCCTTTGATTGCTTATCTTCAATCGTGGCTGCGACAGATATCGTCACTTTCTGCGTCCACTTCTTAAACGTCGTGAAGCCGGGAAGCAAAATGCCTGCGTCTTTGAAAAGTGGATCTTCGTATAATATGACTGAGCCTGTCAAAGTACTCTTTGTTTTGGGAAGAGCTTCGGAATCTGACTTATCGAATTTCAAAACATTTGGCTTGGTGTCTGACCCTGTTAACTTGATGGTAAACCGAAGTGGCTGTTCGACGTCTACACTTGCCGAAAGACTAAGCTGTTCGCCATTGTTAAAGGTGAAAGACTGTTTGAGGATGTTTACGCTACCTCCAAAGGAAGCCTTTCCATCTTTTACCTTAAAAACAAAAAACTTGTTCAAATACATAAGTGTAAATACATAGGCGTATTAGATCGTAGCAGCTCAACCAAATAACAGTGGTGTTCCCAAAGCATGCCCGTTGCTAGACAAACACCAGGTGCAAAACGTCAAACACCGGGGCAAAACGTCTACGCATACGTGAAGCATTTCCAAGCTATTTTTGGGTGCGAATGACTGACAACTTGTAGCATAATTCTGAACCTTGGTGCAACCATAAAACTATGTGGTGCAAACTTTTGACGCTGAAAAAAGACTTTCAAACTGAATTTTTTTTCGCGCCTACCCAGTCTACACTGGCGGGCGAACGTATTGTTTGTTCGGATCTAACTCTACGTTTAATAACTCTCCGTCCCCTACGCATGCATTACTATTACCTGCATTGGCGGGCGTACCTACTGTTTGTTTGGACCTAACTCTTAGTTCAATAATCCTCCGTTTCCTGCATTACCATACCTTGACTGTACTGCTCACTCCACCAATAGTTGCCTGACTTCCTGCCACGCCATTAATTTTAACTCCAGGAAATATTGTCATCTTTCCCGTTACTGATTCTCCGTCTGTTGACAATTTTCCATCTAATGGATCTGGTAATGACACATCGAACCCGGGTAAAGGTATGGATACCATGACGAGAAAATTGACAGGAAATGGCCAATCGTGAGGAAGTTAATATTCCTAGAAAAAGACGAAAACAGTCAATATGATGTCGAGCCAAGCAAGTTTAATCCATGAATACGTTTTCAGGTGGCAGGCAAAATTTTGAAATATGGGACTATTTCTATGCTCTTCTTTGAGCTCGTTTGCCCGCTTGTTAAATTTCTATGTTGATTTGGAAGCTGGGAGTTTGTTTTCTCTGATGCAGCGTAGAAAATTTCTTTTTTGGTCAAAAATATCGAAATGAAGATGTTGTCAAGGTGAAAAAAATTCGCCAGCGGCAAGCGGATTTTAAGTACCCATAACACCAAAATTTTTATTTTCTCATTTGAAAGGCCATATTAAATGATGAACTTCTGCGAAGAATTTTTCGATTTGCACTAAGGATGATTTCTCCGTCTTTTTTGTGGCTACTGCGCATGCCTTCCGGGAAGGCGTAGCCACTGTGTCATGGTGCTGTAATCAAGTCTGTAAATTCGCACAGGTAACCCAATATTTCTCACGTTTTTCAATTACGCGCTTTTACCTTTGGCAATTTGGTCGGGTTTAGTTCGATGTTTGTTCAAAGTCTTGTCTCTTCGGAAACCAGGGATAGCGTTTATAAGCTAAAATCTTTTACTCCTTTTAAGGAAACCTACATAAAAGTTTACCCTCTTGACGCTTAGTTTCTATATATTATCGATCATGTGTTGATACTCCTGAATGTTAGCGGCATCAACTTTTGCAGAATTGTCTCTGGTGAACAGCCTTTACGATTAGGATTCGATAATCGCCTAGCTTAACTTTGTGGACGGTGAATTACGACTAAATTTGTTGGCATTGTTGCGTCGATGATTCATTTCCTCTTAAGTGAAACACAAATTCAATGAAATGGCAGACATTTTTCACTGAATTCGCGCCTCTGAAGATTATTTACGCTCCGCGTTTTGCAGTGGTCTTCCTTTGATATTTCGACACACGCAACCTACAAGATGCAGATGGTGAATTCTGTCGTGAACAAATGTCGTTCAAAGTTAATTTCGTTTTTATTCAATACAGCATTCGTTTTGAAGTGATATGTTTTCCCATCATCGATAATTCAACTTTTCGCATGCAAACAGGAGTTGCGAGGTTTCATCGTGATATCAATTGGTTGTACCAGGAGCCATAATTGGAGACCCCGATTATGGCTCCTGGTTGTATATTGTATTTTTCACATGCCTGGTATCGAGTTACGCTTTCAATATTTGCTCGAATTGGGTCGAAGACCTACGGAAGTCAGTTTAGTGAGTCAGTTTACCTCCTCCCTCCCCCCCCCCCCCCCC